CATCACTCCTTCGGATGTACCCGCTGAACCTCCAACCGTCATGCAAGGTCCAATGACCCGGGCTCGAATGCGTCAACTCAATTTAGAGATGAGCTCGTTCTTAAGCAATCCTTTTCATACTTTTGAGAATAGACTACTACCTAATGATGTTATCTTGCTTAGGAACATTGGAGAGGGTAATGAGGGACTTAGAGAACATGGTGGAGGCGATGATGACCAGCAAGGATGTCCAACAGAAACCGGAGGCCCGATCCAATATGATTTTGAGTCTGCCTCGGCCTTCAGGACCAGTCTGCCTTAAACTGGTCACCCAGAATGCATCCAAGCTCCGTTTTTGAAGATCCATATATGGTTGGAAAGCTAATTTGATAAGGAAGCCAATCCAAGTGGTTTCACGTCAAAAGCCCTTCAGAATCAACGGGAATCGTCGAAACAAGTCAGCATCCAGAATCTGCCAGGGTGCTGTGACACCGTCTTTCGGTCCGTTGGACTGTGTATCGTGTTTGGACCCATTAGGGGGTGCGTCCAGGGTAGGTGACGACCCTAAGACCTTTATAATAATACGCCGCCGTCGTCATTAGGTATTGGGTTTTGCTTAGATTAATCTATCAAGAACAGTTTCGCCGTTCATCGGTTTGTGAGACCCCAACTTCATGAGATTAATTATTCATCTGTAATTTGGTTGTTTTCTTTCTTGTTCTTGCTTGTGTTCTTCGTTGCGCAAGCAGGGATTAGCCTGCTTGGCGAGGTCAATCGGATCCGTGTCTTGGTTGATAACCAGAGGTGTTGTGGTGCTAAGATTACAGGGTTCGATCTTTCGATCTGAAGCCGGATCGGTGTGTCACTCTCCGCCACAACGATAGTTACCACTACCTGATAAAAGATCAGGATCCCCGTCCCCATTAAGGGGACACTAGGGCCAGATGGCTACATTGGCGGGGGGTGTGGGGGGGGAGGGTCGCTGCTAGGGTACCACCATGCGCCCCGCACCCGGGGACCGCCCCGAGAAAGGAGAGAGATGAGTGTCAAGAGAGAAAGGGAGGGAGAGAGAGAGAGAGGAAATAGAAACATAGAAGAATAGATATGTAGGCCAGTAGATTCATGTGTTCCTAGTGCCTCAATCCATGTTGTGACATGTTGGCACATGGGCCTGCCTGTTAGCCACCCTAAGATAGCACAAGTGGTGGGAGAGACTCTTACTAGGAGGGGCACGAGGGCACATGTAGAGGCTGGGTTCGACGGATTTTCACCGTCGGCTTCTGTCCCGATAGTGAAAAGTTTGAGACAAAAACTAGAGGTAAAAATTAGGATGGTTTTTAGCGCTAGTTCCCAAACTGGCTGTGAAAATTATTTCAGTGCTAGTTTTATTATAAACTGACGGGGATGCATTATCGCTAACGATTTTAATAAAAGCATGTAAAAACTGTTTCTACATTGGTGTAGCAAACGAACTAGCTCAAATATATGGCAAATGATACTATTCCGCATTGACATTTTGCATCAAAAAATAAAGCATTAGCTGCTCTAGATTGTTATTAGGGCATCTTCAACGGTCTTTCTAAAGCCTCTATAAATCCTTATTTGGAAAGTTATTTACATAAAAATCGTTTTCTATATCTTTCTACTCTTAATTGAAGAAATGGTGGCTATATTTTTTATTTTTGGCTAATGAGAAATCCGAAATAGAAGATGGCTATATAACTATTGGAGGGTATGTTTGGGAATTTTGTTTCCAGGACATCAAGAAACGGTGGTTTTGTGCGCAGCACATTCCACTCGTTGATTTAGACACTACATAGTTGTGGATTTTGTGTGTAACACACTGATCTACTAAATTAAGTTTTTAAGTCTTGCAAGAAGAGAGGGCTCTGGATAAAAAGGCCAAAATGCCCTTGGACAAAACGGCCAAGCTCAGTGTCATATGCCTGTGCAGCAACTTGAGCTTTCGCGTGGGCAGCACTATGCCGTCGTTGGCATCCTCGCCGTCGCCGTTAGCGCCCCCACGGAATGCATAATGCCTGTGGCCAACGACCATGCCAACAGTCTCCGACACAATCGCGCGCTCGGCCAACTGCAACGCATGTGCCGCCTGGTGGTGGACAAGCACCAGCTGCTCCAGCGCGTTCCTTGCCGTCGTGGCTTTGCTACAGAGCGATGTTCATGAACTTGGGTCATCTTGCTTTACTCCGTGCTGCTCCAGTGCCAGCAGGCAGCACATGCCCGCTTCATCTGCTGGCTCGCGAGTCATGGCGTTGCTTCCGTTCTCTAGGACATAACCAGGACCGTGCCTTGTTGAGGAGGCTGATAATAAGATGACTAGATCAGGCAGAAGAACGGTACAGATAAGAATGTAGCAACGACGGACTCCAACAACAGAATGAAACAAGGGCAAATTCGTCAATTTATCATGCCCTCATTCCCTGTCAGGTTGGAAAAGGCTCTGTTAACGCCAGCGGTGTGTGCTGCACCAAAACGTAGTTTTGAGAATGTCCAAGTAACAAAAATAACGAGTGCGCGGTGTGCTCTGCACAAAACCACACTTTAGCGCCCATAGACAAAATGTCTTATTTTTTTTATCAAAATCTCTCTTCCTAGTAATTAGAAAGGATATAGAGAGTCTCTTAGAGTAGCAGTAATGATACTTTGAACATCTAATGAAATTGGTTATTTACTTGAAAAAATTGTATCATTATCCACATTGAACTTTTTCCATTAGAAAAATAAAGTATTTATGACCGGAACAAGTATAATAAACAGAGGGCATTCGAGCATTCAAAGTGAATCAATCATAGACCACATCCTCATTCGGGTCGGTGGAATTTTGTACCTGCAACCATCAGGTCACGGTGGGGCTCACAGGATCGATATGGTGCGTTCGTGTAGTGTGGGTTTGAACTGCGATCTGACATTTTAACTCTGGTCCGGTTGTTTTCGCGTTTGAGCGCGTCTGGTACCATCAGAAGCCTATAATCCTGCTGAACGGGTTACGACGACTGGGTGAACGCACGTTCGTGTTGGAGGCTTACCCGAAACGCAAGTCTAGCTTCGCAATTTGGAAAACACAGAGTTGGGTTCCCTGCTTGCCCTTGTCGTGCCCCCCCCCCCTCTCCCTCCTGTGCGCTCGGTCCCTCTCCCTCCCGTGCATGTGCCGCACCGCCATGCCATCCCCACTGCCATCTCCCTCCACAGCGCCTCCCTCCAGCCCGATCGTCCCCTAGATCCACCGACAACGGCTAGGTCCACGATGCCGGAGCTCCATATGCCGCCCGCCCGTCGCCCGCTGCCCGCTGGATCTCTAGCTCCTCCCACCGGCCGCTGGAACTTGAGAGCTCCTCGTCGCCTGGAGCACACTCGGATCTCTAAGCTCCTGCATCGATTTTGAAGAAGAAGGACCAGGATGGAAATTGAAATTTTTATCTACGTCTAGTTGCAAGGCTATAGACTCATAGGAATAGTAGTAAATAGTGGTACGCGATTTGAGAAAAGTCCAGGGTTCCTAGTTCAAAATGTTCTTTTTTCTTTTTCTTTTCTGATAATATACTAGAAATAATCAAGACACCAACGCTAGTAGATTCTCCAGACCGTGGCTTATCAGATAATCATGCTTATTTCTTGGAATAAGCGAGACTCAGAGAAGCTGGCCTCTAGCTCATTTCTTTCCCTTGCCTATTTCTATTTATTAACTTGCTCATGTTGCTGCCTTTGACACCTTATGTGTCTCCCGGCTCCCGATGTCTCTCCATTATCTTTCTCGGTGGAAATGATGACATGCTGCAGTTTATTTTTGTGTGTCGATCGGCAACAAAACGGATAAACCACAAAACTTAAATTACTCTTAACACAAACAGAATAATTATGTGCCTCCCCAGAACATGTAGAACGAAGGAATACTGAGGGTGTGTTTGGTTTCCCGCACCAGGCTAGCCTGGCTCGCACCGGTGAGACATGCCCTCTTTAACCATGCCCTGGACGTACAGGAGGGTGTGTTTGGTTGTATACACTAACTCAGCTAGGCTACACAGTGACGCTGTTTGGTTACATGGCTGCATGTGCTCGCGATGGCCAGGAGAGCCTCCCGTGCGCTCAGCGCGCGCTCGCGAGAGCCCCTGCGGGACATGCTCGGCAGGAACGCCTGAATCCTGCGTACTCAGCAGCATGGCCCTGGGACGGAGGTTGCATGCGCGGGGACAGGCCCTGACCGATGGGCAGGCAACCAAACAGTGGATGGCTGCACCCCGCGGGCATGGCTGGAGCATGTACACGAAACCAAACACGCCCTAAGTATCTGCCACGTATTTCAAAATTTTCGTATAAACGTTAGCGAAAAAGAAAAAAAAAGTGGTCTACAGATCTTTCTACCACGAATTCCAATTCCTTAGAGGGACACAGAATTAATTAGAGAAAGGTGTCACAAAGGAAGACGACACGCGCATCACTCCTCGAGAAAAAGAAAGGGGAAAGAAAGAAGTTCTCTTATTCCTTCTGATCCTTGAACTTGCCGGCCGTGTGGCACAAGCACATGTGGTATCTTCAGTTGACGAACCTAATTCTTCCTTGGTCCTGGTCGCGGCCAGGCCAGTAGAGCACAAACAAGAATGATTTGCACGCACTTTGGTTATGGATCGGAGATGCTTGGCGACATTTGTCACCAATCTGACGGAGAGGAAAACAGAGGGAAAACCGGAAAATTAAAGGACGAGCAAAATGTACACAACTAATCTGAACTTGAAGAAGTTGTTAAAAGCGACAACCGAGATCATATATACAGTACAATATATGGATTCACACTATGGTTTATCAAACAATCATAGAATTCGTCACAGCGAAACAGCGCATAATTAGAAGACAGCCACTAGCGCAGAACATAACTACGATGCCTTATCATTTTTACAGAACAGACGCAACAAGTAACAAGTGGCAAATAAACACTGCTCGCAAAAAAATAAATAAAGTGGCAAACAAACACAGCGCAGCATGCAGTATATTTGTTGCTCACATCATCACTGCCGTGTTCTGCCTGTAGTCTTGCGATCATCCTTGCCAACGTATGCATGAGCATGATGAGCATCACCATGCCCACGATCTCCACGGAAGTTGTTGGCAGCCGGCACCGCCACCACAGTGGGAGAAGCACTAGGGTTAGGATAGCCGTAATCGTCTTCATGGGCATGGCCACGACGACCAATCTGCTGCGTCTCGGGTGGCGTCCTCGCGGAACCCGCGACCCCTGCTGCTGCCACTGGCCCGGCATGGCGGATTGGACTGGCGACTACTTGCTCGACTTTCTTGGGAGCTTTGGTGGCCGCAGTATGTTTAGGACTAGGAGGAGCTTGCGGAGCCGCCGGAGTATACTCAGGAGATTGCGGTGGTGGAGTAGGTGGTGAGTCCGCCGTCTTGTTCTTGCCTTCATCATCGCTCTTGTTCTTGTTCATGCTCGCACCGTTGCCATTGTTTGCTTCCTTTCCAGTTCCAGAGGGCGGCGGGTGGTCGATAGGCTCGGTGTGGCCGAACCCGTGACCTGGATGATGTTCATGTGTCACTTGTGATTGTGGCGGATCATTTTCGCGGCAGCAGAACGGGAGACACATAGCCGGAGCTGGCGCCGAGGTATAGCTAAGCTAGCAGCAGCTAGGCAGTGCTATGTTAAGCGATCGATCGATTGGACTGAAGGTATGTAGTAGGTGAGAAGAAGAGTGCAAGCATAGAGATGTGTGGTTATTAATTAGGCGGGAGAATATATGGCCGCAGATATGGAGCTCTGCTGTATAGTAAACTGAGTTCGTAAGACTTAAGCTAACGTTAAGTCGTTAACCCCAGTGGAGTTAGGTCGTCGTCCACCGTATGAAGCAACAGAAAGATGCACGTCCTCAATGATGGAGAACTTATGCCCAAGGCTTTGTATCAAGCCATTCATGGTGTCGTTGTTATCCTCAATGATGGAGAATCATTAAATAGTGTGATGCTAGCTTTATGTTTCATTCCAAAGTGAAATGGAGAGACACAGAGTGCTGCTAGCTTGCTTTATTTCTTGTCCTTGGACATATATATGTACTAGATGTTCTTTTCATAGCAAAATGTGATGATTGTGTAAAATGTTCACCAACTCAATTCGGAAGCATTTGTCGCAATACACGCACTACTGGAGATGGCCTCGCCCTCGGCAAAGGCCCATTAACCCTCGGCAAAGAGCTCTCAAGGAATTTTGAGTCGGCGAAGAGGGTCTTTGCCGAGGGCCCTTTATCGGGCACTCGGCAAAGCCTTTGCCGAGGGCTGGAGCGGCACTCAGCAAAGAAAAGCAGCCGTCACGGCGCCGGCGCCTGGGACGGAGTCTTTGCCGAGGGCCGTCTCAGGGGGCCCTCGGCAAAGAATTTTTTTTTTTGAAAAACTTTGCCAAGGGCCTCCAAGCATGGCCCTCGGCAAAGAAATGTGCAGAATTTTTCCAAAAAATCTTTGCCGAGGGCAATGGGACGGCCCTCGGTAAAGAATTATTCTTTTAAAAAAAATCTTTGCCGAGGGCTTCCCCGAAGGCCCTCGGCAAAGAATTTTATTTTTTTTAAAAAAAAGTCTTTGCCGAGGGTCCCTAACCATGGCCATCGGCAAAGAAATGTTGCATAATTTTTTTTTAAAATCTTTGTCGAGGGCAATGGGACGGCCCTCGGCAAAGGACCCTTCTTTGCCGAGGGCTTTGGTCATTGCCCTCGGCAAAGAGGTAGAAATTTAATTTTTTTTTGCTTTTTGCATTCCATCAACACAAGCATTTCATATATATATCACACAGAACCCATTTTGTCACAATATATTACAACCATAATTGTGAACCACAAATGACAATATATTACAACGACAAGTCACATGTTCATCATCATTCATATGTTTATTACGACAAGTTCATGAAATCCAAGCACAAGTCAGAACCATAAACCACAAATATTACAATAAAATCCAACCACATCACCTAGCACTAGTCCTCATCAAGGTAGCCTATGAGACGGTGGTGAAGGAAAGGCGGGATCAGCCGGTGACGCACTATCGGGATGATTGGAACCCGCGGATGAAGACTGCACAAAGGAGCAGAGATTGCATGTGTGAGTAATCCAGGAAAACAGTTTTGAAACTTAGAGATTGCATCTAGTAATCTAGAAATACAAAAAGATTAGACTCAATTGAAAATTTCGACGCACCTCCCCTGCACGGGGAGGTTTTTAAAACCTGCAAGAAACAACGGCACGAACGCCGACATCCACAATGGCACGAACGCCGACATCCACAACGACACGAAGGCCGACATACATGCAAAGCACAAGCGAAATGTGAACTTTCATACTTATAGGAGTAGCTGCAGGAGTAGGAGGTGGAGGAGCTAAAAACTGCACAGGTACATCCGATGCTTGCCCAAGACTTTGCATGATCACCATCATCTCCGCCATCTGCTTCTGCGCGGCCTCGAACGCGACCTGCTGGGCCTGCAGTTGTGTGGTCAGTTCCGCGTTCTGCTCTTGACTTTGCCTTTTTGTTTATTCCAGCTCGGCCTGCAATATTTCACTCCAATGTATCAGTAATGCAAATCTAATTTAGGTGTGTAAATATCAACGTACGACGAGTAAAACAGGAATTACCTGGAGTGCCTGGACCTGCTGCAGTGTTGGAGAAGGCCGTGAGCGTATGGGCTGGCTGGAGCTCGTGCTCCGTGCTCGGATAGCGTCGAGGGAGGGAACAGTGGTGGAGTCGATGGCACTGTCTGCAATCCACAGCCACCCGTGCTTCTTGCCTCCTCCGAGCCTCATGATCGTCTCTACATCAATGGGCTCAGTGCGCACATTGTAATCTTCCCCATAGATCTCCCTTACCGATGACGTGTACTCTTGGACTTTAGTGTACACGTTCGGGTCGGAGTACACCTAGGGCGGGGCAACCGGGTCGAAGGAGACAGAGGACGATGCCCTGCCCATGTGGGACATAGCCCACGTAGAGAACTCCGAGACCTCGCCCGGGTGCGCAGCCTCCTACGAGAAAGATGGGAAGATGGTGAGAAATCAAGCAGAATTGGGCATCAAAATAAATGAAAGAAATCACTTACGTATGCTTGTTTGTATCCGGGGAGGCTGCGGCTGCCTTGATGGTGAGTTGGACCTTGCCTCATCAGACATTGTTCCCGCTGCCTCTCGTGCATGTCAACAAAGTCCTGTGATAACCACTTGTCCACGATCATGGCCCAGCACTCGGGATACGATCGGCACCACTAGGGAATCACCTACAAGTCATCGAGTATTTGACATATAAGAAGATGAAATCGAACCTACTTAATATCAAAATGAATCATTATGAATGTTATTTGCCTACCTCAAGGTACTGGTCCCGGCTCAGTGTAATCAGTCTTGCTTGAGACTTGGGGAGGGACTGCTTAAGTACCGACCTGTAGTAGTCTATGTGGGCTTGGACGTGCCCATGGTGGTGCATCTCGGTGACGTACTTCCTTCAAGCTGCGACAGCCGCCTGATCCGCCTGGGCCTCAAGTCCTTCTTCGGCCTTGAAAAATTTATGCATACAAAATCGATGTATCCATTCATTATTTCAATAAAATATTTAACCAATGAATGAGATGTATTAAGCAATGTTGTGCGAGAGAAACTTACCCAAAACTCCGCCAATACCCGCTCCTGCTTGTTGCGGTAAGTGTCATCCGTGACCAGCGCGTACCTGTCCCAGTTGGAGGCCGGCTCCCGCACCACCGGCTCTTTGGATAGTTGCACAATGCCAGGGTACCATTTCCTGCACAAAACACCAAGGATGCTCGCGGGGGTGCGTGCTAAAGTACCTGACAAAACCAACCAGGCCCTGCACAAGTGATTAAGAAAATTTATCAGTTTCTCTCATGATTTCCAACATATCTTATGAAGTAATTGTGATAACATCTATAGTTACTTACCTCTTTGCCATAGGCCAAATCACTGGGCGGTTGTGAGGAAGCGGAACCGGAGGGAGGCTCGTGGGACCTCGCTCGTAGGGAGTCCGGGTAGCGGTACCCCCTCCGTCGCCCTCGAGCCCCTCTCCTCCCTCGCCCTCGAGCGCCTCGCCTACCTCGCCCATCTGCTGACCCCTCTCGTCCTCCGACGAGGACGTGGCCATAGCCATCACGTGCTCCTCCTCCAGCACATTGTCACGTGGCGAGGGAGGAGACCGCTGCCTCCTGTGGCTACTGCCCCTAGTCCTCCTCTCGTCACCTCCTATGGACGCTGCCCCAGACGACGACCCCTCACCTTGAAGGAGAGGGCGGTCTCTCCCATAAACCGAGGGCGTGTCACGGCGTGGACGTCTGCTCGCCATCTTTGTTCAATCACCTGCAATCACAAAGAATGAACAAGACTAATTAGTACATATATTAGAAATAGATTCAAAATATATAAACAAAACACAAATTAAAAAAATATAGTATTACATGTATTAGGAATAATCTTCATGATTGGGATCATAGGTCTCATCATCACTGTCAAAATTGTCCAAATGGGCAACACTATCCGAAGGTTCTATGTTGTCATCATAGTCATTGCCTAGAAGTAATCGCTCAAGCATTGCTATGTCCTTGGCATTTACCACCACATGTCCATCGACCTCGTCATCAACCATTTCGTTGTCTACTTCCATTTCGATTGCTTCGGGTAAGACTATCTCAAACGTGTCTAGTAGCCCATCTTCTTGATAGAACTGTCCATCATATGTGTTTGCGTTGAAGTTGTAATCATCATCGTTTGGGGTAGGTAGTTTACCGTGTGGAGATACTTGGTGCACAATAGCCCAACCCTTAAGATCCTCTTTGTCTTGGTTGGCGTATCGAGTATAATACACCTACATGGCCTGTTGAGCCACAATGTAGACATCTTTTCCAGGATAGATGGAATCTTCTCGAATCTCGACTAGCCCAAGATGAGGGGTTCGTCTCGTTGATTGAGGATTAAACCAGTGGCATTTGAACATGATAGGTTTAAGAGGTTTGTCTCCATGAAATGAGAGTTCATAGATTTCCTCAACTCTACCATCATAGTCGAGGCCATCAGTGCCGGGCGTACAAACTCCGCTATTTGTGGTTTTTCGTTTGGGCCGAATCTGCTCGTAACTTGTTGTGTGGAAGCGATATCCGTTCACGTCATAGCCGGTAAATGACTTCACCCTAACGTCACAGCCGTTTGCAACCTGTTTCAACTCATCACTCATGGACGAACCGGTCTAGGCCTGCAAGGTGAAGCATGATAGATCGTTATATTAATCAAATGTACGATCACCTTGGACGATCGAACGTACGAGCTAAATTGGACATTACCTTTTGTTTGAACCAAGAAATGAAATCAAGCCTCCCCGCTCCCGCACCCTGCGAAACATGGGTGTCTTGTTCATGCGAGGTAGGATCCCTTGATTGATGCCAGAATTCATGAACAAATTCCCTGTCCAAACGAGAATCAATGGGGTTGGATGCAGAATAGTGACGGCGTATTGAAACAAGTTTGTTGAGAACTTACTTGATGAACGACTGCACCTCGGTAAGGTTATTCAACATATATAGCATGATACTGCGCCACTCTTCATTTCCCAATAG